TGATATTTTTGGGGCCCTTATCACAGATCAGTTGTCTGTATGCTGATGATTTTATTTCTGGGTTTTCAGTTCTTTTCCATTGGTCTGAGTATCTGTCATTGTACTAATACCATGAGGTTTTGACATCTGTGGTTGTATAGTATGTGCTAAAGTCAGGTAAAGCAAGCCCTCCCACTGTGTCCTTCTTCTTGAGGAGTTCTCTGCTTCTTCCCTCTCCATATGAAGTTGGTAATCAGTTTTTCCATTTCTTTGAAGAAAGATGAGGGTAATTGTATTGGGATTGCATTAAATTTATATAGTGCCTTGGGCAGAACTGACATCTTTACATATATTGAGTCTTCCAATCCACGAGCATGGGATATTCTTCCATTTGTTGAGCTTGCTCTTGGTTTCTTGTAATAGTGTTCTGTAGTTTTCCCCATATGGATCTTTTGTTCTTTTAGTCAGGCATATCCCTAGATATTTCAATTTGTGTTTGGCTATTGTGAAGGGTACCACCTTTTTGATCTCCTCTTCTGTGGTCTTATCCGATGTGTATAGCAGTCTGATGGACTTCTGTTTATTGATCTTGTATCCTGCCACTCTGCCAAACTCCTCTATTGCTTCCAGTACTCCCCGTGTGGAGCTTTTGGGATTTTCCACATATAAAATCGTATCATCTGCAAATAACTATAGTTTCACCTCTTCCTTCCCGACGAATACCAATGATGTCTTTTCTTTGCCTTATGCTGTTAGCTAAAACCTCCAGGACGATATTAAATAAGAGTGAGGAAAAGGGCCAGCCTTGTCTGGTCCCCTTTTTCAGTGGGATTGTTTTAGTCTTTTCTCCATTGACTACTACGTTGACTGTTGGTTTTTCATATATAGCTTGTATTGTCTTGAGGAATTTTCCTTCCATTCCTATCTTCTCAAGTGTCTTAAACAGGAATTGGTGTTGGATGTTGTCGAATGCTTTTCCTGCATCTATCAGTATTATCATGTGGTTCTTATAGTTTTTCATGTCAATGTGGCAAATGATACTAATGGTCTTTTGTACGTTGAACCATCCCTGCATCCCTGGTATGAATCCCACTTGGTCATGGTGAATTATTTGTTTATATACTTTGGTATTCTATTGGCCCATATTTTGTTAAGGATTTTTACATCGCTGTTCATTAGGGATATTGGTCTGTAGTTCTCAATTCTTGTGGGCTCCTTGCCCGGTTTTGGTATCAGAGTTATACTAGCTTCATAGAAGAAGTTCGGGAGTTTGCTGTATTTTTCTATGTTCTGGAAGAGTGTGTAGGATTGGTGTTAGTTCTTTCCTAAATGCTTGGTGGAATTCTCCAGAAGCCATCTGGTCCAAGGGATTTTTTTGTTGGTAATCCCTTGATAACCTTGTCTATTTCTTCTATTGCTATGGGTCTGTTGAGATTCTTGACATCCTTTGGGGACAGTGTAGGGAGGGATTGTTTTTCCAAGAATTTGCCCATGTCTTCCAAGTTGTTGAATTCATTGGTAGTACTGTGTAATTATCCTTTCAATTTCATTGAGGATGTGTTTTTATGTGCTGGTGAGATATATGACAGGTGAGAACACTCACAGTGTAGCTCATAGATCTTAGAGCTCACAAAGGACAGGGTCCAGATTTGAGCCCAGGAAGTCTTGTTTCAGAGCTTTTGCTTTTTTTTGTTTGTTTGTTTAAGATCATTGTATTGGGGGCTCTTACAGCTCTTATAACAAGCCATGTATCAATTGTACAAAGGTATTTTTACATATGTTGCCATCATCATTTTCTAAACATGTACTTTCTATTTCAGCCCTTGGTTTCAGCTCCTTTTTTTCCCTTCCCACCTTTGTGACCCTTTGATAAATTATAAATTATTATTTTCATTTCTTACACCAACCTCTGTCTCCCTTCACTCACGTTTCTGTTGTTCATCTGCTGGGGGTGTGGGGTGGAGGGCAGGTTAAGCAACGATCATTGTGATTGGTTCCCCCTTCTTCCCCTCCTACCCCATCCCCCACTTTCCCCCTATCCTCCATGTATCTCTACTACCATTTCTGTGTATGAGGGGTTTATCCTGACCTTGATTCTGTGTGTTGTGAGTTCTTATCTGTACCAGTGCACATGCTCCAGTCTAGCCAGGACTGAAAGGCAGGACTAGAGCCATGATGGTGGTGGGTGAGGAAGCCTCAAAGAACCAGAGGAATATTGTTTGTTTCATCAGTGCTATTCTGAGCCCTGGTTAACTCATCCCTTCCTTGTGACCCTTCTGTGAGGGGATGGCTTATTGTCTACAGATGGGTTTTGGGTCTCTGCTCCAAGCTCCCTCGTTCTTCACAAGATGTTTTTTTGTTGTTGTTTTGGGTCTTCTGATGCCTGTTACCTGATCCCGTCAACACCTCATGATCACATAGGCTCGTGTGCTTCTTCCATGTGTGCTTGTTGCTTATCTGCTAGATGGCCGCTTGCTTATCTTCAAGCCTTTAAGACTCTGGGCTATCTTTTGATAGCAAGGCACCATCAGATTTCTTCACATTTGCTTATGTGATTTTGTCTTCATTGATTGTGTTGGGAGGGTGACATCACAGAATGCCAGGTTGTTAGAACAAAATGTTCTTGCATTGAGGGAGGGCTTGAGCAGAGACCCCAAATCCATCCACTTCCTCAGTGTATTGCAATATAAATATATGTATAAAATGTTCGTGACATAATGGATGTATGTATGGATGTGATAAGAGCTGTAAGAACCCCCAATAAAATGATTTTTAAAATAATAAAAAATTAAAAAGGAAAAACAATACAATATGGAGTATTAAGTAAACTGAGACATTATTCAGCTCTAAATAAATAAATATATGTAAATAGGCCAATAGCTGTATTTTTATGAATTAATATCTTTATATATGTGCACACCTATGTTTATACCTCTATCCATAACTTTGCTTCCTAGATCTTTCCTTTTATCTTCCTCTTGCCCCACCATCATGCCTCTTAGTAATTCCACGTCCTCCAGTTTTTAATTCCCTAGTTGTTCCCCTGTCTGTGGCATTGTTTGCTCCCCCCTCCTTTCCCCTGCCTCCTCCTCTCCCCAAGTCCTTCTGGAACTGTCGGTCCTGCTGCTTTCTCCTCAGGCTTACTTCCCATGCTTGTCTTATACAGGTAAGCAGAACAAGAAAAACAGAGACAAAGCAAAAAGAAAACAAAAGATTGAATAAAAAAAAAAACACCCAGAAAACTAGCAGAAAAACGAAACAAAAAACCCTAAAACCAAAAAAGCATATATAATTCCAGGTCTGTCCGATGACCTTTATGACCTCACAGGTCCTGGAGGGTTCCAGGAACTGCACCTCCTAGCCTGGAGTCTATTTTGGGCTCCTCAGGGGGTTGTGGCTTTGCTTTGATCTGTTATGCTTCCTTCTTGGTTTGCCCCAGCTTCTGCTCTTAAGCATTACACTCTACTTTCCTCTCTCTGACACACTGATCAACCCAGAGATTGAGCTGACAGCTTGGAGGAAAACAACTTATTTTTCTAAACTGCACTTTAAAATACATTTCAACATCATCTCTCAAATTGGGCTAGGCTTTCCAATAGATGGCAATGCAGCTTCCTGGTGAGTTCATGACAACACAGATCAGACAATGCCTGTACAGCATATGTGAGGGGAAAGCTTGTGAAATGTGAGCCATTTCTTACCTTTTGTCTCTGAATGCTTACACTCAGATGAGTGCTCTGAAGAACTATTGGCAGGGATAAGAAGATGTACAGGTGACATGATGCATAGTGGGTTATGCATTGGGCTGCTCTCCTCAAGGTCAAAGTTTGAACCCACCAGCTGCTCTGCAGCAGAAAGATGAGGCTTTCCACTTCTGTAAAGATTTAGTCGTAGTAGCCTACAGGAGCAGTTCCACCCTGTCTTATCATGTCGCTCTGAATCGGAATGGACTTGATGGGTTTGGTTTGGGAACCAGATGCACCGGGGCTGAGGAGTGTGCTGTCTTCGTGATGCTTAGAGAACGTGCAGGAATCTAGATAAGGTCAAGAAATAAGCCGTACACCTATCCAGGGAAAGAGCATGCCATCCAGAGATGAAAGCCCTGTAGCCGGGTGGCTTTCCCGAGGAGCAGTCGGGGGCTGACGTGGAGGGAGGACATGACAGCAGAGCAGCAGTGAGGGGCAAGATCGCAGGGCCGAGCTCAGGACGGAAGCAATGTGTGTGTTCTTCTGACACGGAAAGCTGTTGTAGAGTGTTCAGAAAAGGAGTGGTTTGCTCGGGCATAGTTAGACAAGTATCCCTCGTTGGTGGGCAGGGCATATTTGGGGGCATACTCGGACAAACGCAGGACACTCCGGAGGCCCTGTGGAGAGGTCTGGGAAGAGCTGCTGCTGGTCTGGAGCAGGGGGAGCTGTGAAGGCAGGCACTGAGAGGTGGTTGGACTTTGCCCGTTCGTTGAAGACAGAACCAACATAAGCTGCCTACACCTTGGCTGTGGAGAGAGAGGAAGGAAGTGGGTGACTCCAAGGGACTCGGCCCGAGCCCCTGGCAGGATCGCTTTGCCATTTCCTGAGCTGGGAAATACCATTGATGCAGAGCTTGAGCTTGATTTGAACGTATGAGAACTCCCGAGACACTGGGTCAAGAAGCCTGAATGCAGAGAGGCCCAGACTAGACACAGGAACTTGGGAGCATCTAACAAAGAGTGCGTGATGCCATTGCCAGCTGCAGCCATGGGTTTCTAGTGTGACGGTGATGAAATTATTGATACGGAAATGTTAAAACTTGATGTTTTGTATTTAGTCATCATTTAAAGACTTTTTATCAAATGAAAGCTAAATTTGAAAATACTTAATATAGATGTATTTAAGGGTGGAACAAGATCCGAAGTAAAGTATAGAGAATTTTCTGGTACTTGAGAGTGGACACATTGTAATTGACTGCTCTATATAACTATATTCCTGATTATTAGAGTTTAGAGATATTTTTATAAAATGTTATTTTTTTGTGTGGTTTTTAAGGTAATGCTATGGGCTATATACGAATGATAAGATCTGGTGGTCTTCATTGTAGCAGCAATGCCATTAGGTATGGATGAAAACATCATTTTTGCCTTATTTATGCCATTTCTTTACTTGTGCTGTTTAACATTATGAGATTGTAAGTTAATAATTGTGGGAAAGGTATATTTGTTCTTGTTGATATGGTTTAGGGACAGAAAACCATTAATTTTCCTAGTTCCTTTGTTTCTCCATAAACTTTAAGACTTTAGCAGGCCTTATCTTTAAAAATCTTTATTTACTTTGAAGTTATAGTTAATTTATGTCGTGAATACCATTTGTCAATGACTCTAGAGATTATCTGAGTTAGATTGAAATTTGTCTAAAATTCAACTTTGGAACTGATGTGAAATATTAGTAATATAATTGAAATACTAAGTTTCTTCCAAATATATTGTTGGCAAATGTAGAGTCGTGCGCTTATGTCTATCACATGCATATACTTTACTAAATCCCTTCTCAAATTATCATGCAGATTTGTGCCAGATCTTGAAGATATTGTCAATTTTGAAGAACTGGTAAAAGAAGAAGGTCTTGCAGAAGAAACACTAAAAGCAGCAAGGTACTCTTAATTTTGAAGTAATGTAATTTAGCAGATTTTTTAAATGTCTGCTAAAATTTATATAGAACTTTAAAGATAAAACTAGAGGATAAATGTCCAAAACCATTTACGTAAGAGTGGTATTTTTAAATCTTTCTAAAAAAAGTATTAAAAAGGTGTCTTCTGGGATATGCTGTGTAATGTGGTAGCCATTAAGCAACATCATCAAGCCCTGAAATGTGACTAGTCCAAATTGAGACATGCCCAATAATAATTTTGAAGCTTTAATATTAAAGAAAGCTCATTAAGAAAATTAATTTCAACATTTTAAAAAAATGTGACCCCTATACAATTGAAAATTAAATATGTAGCTCACATCATGCAAGGGAACATCACAAAGTTCTGGAAAAATGAAATTAAAAACTAATAGAATTTTCCCATGAGCTTTTAGATGCTCTCTCATAGTTCTACTCAGGAGCATTTGCTCGAACACAGGCTTTCCTTTCTTTCAGAGTAGCACTTCCCAACACGTGTGGCTATCGACCGCTCGAAATATGACTAGTGGTCCTGAGGGACTGTCTTTTCAGGTTCATTTGCATGAAATATAGTAGTTAATAGCATATCAACAGATTAGAATCAGGAGGAAATATGCAGAATCATTAAGAACTTGTTTGGATATTAAAAGTTTTGTTACTGGTAGTTTTAACAGTTTATTGAGTCAGTCATGAAGGGGTACCCCTAGACAGATTGGGGATAATTTGAATACTGTAAGAATAATGGTAGAAATAGATGGTAATATATTTAATTAAATAAAGAGAAACCCTTGAAGTATGGAATGGTATTATGTTTGGATTAGTTCCTAATAAAGTGGTTTTGGAAAAAACAAACTCTCAATTATAGTGATAAAAGAAAGGCTGAGAGAAGAGAGGTGGAAGAGAAAGCTCCTTTTTGTGCAAGATGCCAGCTAACTACAAGCGCGTGAGACAATGTAGAAGAAGAACCACCTGAAAGCGGCAAGAATCATCCATGAATTCTAAAACGGGAAAGTTGAGAACCCGAGTATTCATTCCGTCTCAGACAGTCCTCTCACACCTGGCTGTCAGTCACCAAGGCGAGAAGGGTCCTTGGAGTGGTGAGATGAGCGTGTACTATCTTAACCATATGATCATCTTTGGCATCACCAGTATGAGCCAGATCATGTTGAAGAAACAACCTGAGAAATCAGAATATGGAGCATTCTACAGGACATCTAGCCTAGACTTAAAAAATGTGAAATGTCAAACAAAAGGAGATATTTTAGATTAAAGGACATTAAAGACACCCTGGCAACCAAATGCAATAGGTGAACCTTAATCACATCCAAGATGGGGGGGCTGCTACAAAGGACATAAAATTCCCTGAGTTGGAGAGCTCTGAATGTGAATCACATATTCGATAATACTATTTTTTAAATCCTTGGTTGTGCTATGGTGTTCTAAAATTATATGTTAACTCATGGCATTGGGGATGTAGAAAAAAATGTTACAAAATGTGATCCAAGTGGCAACGACAAAGAGAAACTTAAAGGAGAAAGGTCCAGGTGGGGTCGGGGACCGGGGTGTGTGAGATCTGCGGTGCTATCATTGGGGAGCCCTGGTGGTGGTGTGGTTTACGAGGAGGGCTGCTAGCTAAAATCAGCAGTTTGAAACCACTGGCCCTTCTAAGGGAGAAAGATGAGGATTTTCTACTCCCATAAAGATTGAAAGTTAGGGAAGCCCACAGAGGCAGTCCTACTGTGTCCTATAGGATCGCTATATGTTATAAACAACTTGATGGAAGTGAGTTTTTCAGTGTGAATGTATAGTTGTCTCTGGTTAATGGGAGGGCCCAGATTTTTCCAAGAGAGTAGTGGTTGTCAAGGAGTTGTGGGGTTATGATAATGAGTAGCTTATACAAATGGATTAACAAGATGCTCCAAGGGGTTGGAGATCTGGAGCTGGCTTCCGCGCCCTTGATAAATGTGGGGCAGTGATGGAAGGGGAAGTAGGTGCCTGATTTTAGGAGGGAGTGGCTGGTAGGATCCTTGGGTCACTTTAGGCAGGACAGGAGAGAGTTCCACCTTGCAGCGGTGAAGGAGTGACCGACGGAAGTGAAGGGACTTGTACAGGAGGGATTTGTGTGCGTGAGTAAGCAGCTGATGTGTCTGCAGGATTTCAGTAGGTTTAACAAGCTATAGAGAAGCATTACGTGAAGAGATTTACTTCAAAGGAATGAAGAAGAACTTATTTACAATGAAGTGGAACTCGACAGGACTTTTGAAAATGCATACAGTTACTATTATTGAGCGGAAGAAATACCTATTGTTTTAAGTGGCAAGATGCCCTACTTACTCTTTCTTAGGGACAAAGTCCTTGAGACAATGTTGTTCAATTTCTGCCCAGGAGAAAATGAGATTGTTGGGACATTCACCTAGAAATGCCGTGTCCCGTTTCCTACTTTTGAGCATGCTCACTTAGCCTGATAAGAGCTGGACAGAAAAAGCCATGGCTCGTTTGTGGGCGGGCCCAAGGAGTGCTGCTTTCATTTTTCAGGCATTTGGATGCAGTCCTCAGCGATCACACAAGGAACTCTGCTGAAGGCACCGAGTATTTCAAAATGCTTGTGGATGTTTTTGCTCCGGAATTTCGAAGGCCAAAGAATATACATCTCAAAAATTTCTATATCATTGTTCCCCCTCTGGTGAGTATTTTCAGTACCTATTAAAAAACCCTTTAAGAATTAAAAAGGTGACATTTAATAGATAAAGCTTTTTGTTGCTACATGAGTTGCAGAGATAATATCACTGAGCATAAGATTCTAGACAAAACAATTCAGACCTCAATGAATGTGGACTAGAATTTTTACTTACTAGCTTTGCAGAGTGAGGATTATTTATAAGTAAGACAGATTTGCCTTTGTTTCAGCGCTGCTAGAAATCCTAGTGTGATTAAACTACTTGAGTGCTTCTCACATGCTGACTATCTAATGTTTGGGCAGTCATACCATCTCTTTTAGCTGCTTAATGTAGACTGTTACAGAATGAAATTGTATCCAGCATATCTCCCTTTTTTTTTATTAAAAAAATACTATTTTATTGTATTTTGGGTGAATATTTATATAACTTAGAAAATTAGGTTCCCATTTAACAATTTCTATGCATGGTGTTCAGGGACATTGGCCACATGTTTCGCAATGTGTCTTTGCGTTAGGATACTTGTTGACCGTTGGGCTCATATAGATGGCATTTTGAAAGCACTCAGTACTCACTGGTGATACTCTTGACTTTATTATCCAATCTGTTACTTAGCTGAAAGGTGACCTTCAGGGATGCTTTCAGTTCCAAGTTTAAAGGATATTTTAGAGCAGTACTTTTGGGGGTTCTGCTAGTCTCTGCCAGTCCAATAAGGCTGACATTTTTAAACAATTTGAGTTTGGTTCAGCATTGTTTTCTCATTCCATCTGGGACCATCTGTTGTGTTCCTGGTCGGATGTGGTTAGAGGGATGGGCAGTGACAGCAGGCTACCATCTGGTTCCTGATCTCTCAGGATGACGTGGTTCATGTGATCGGTCAGTCCTGTAGAATACTTTCTTCTCTGGGCCTTTGGTTTTCTTTCGTCTCTTGTTCCAGACTGGTAAAAACCAGTAATTGTATCTCATATCTGTCACATATATAGAAACATTTTGTTTGAGGATAACTTCTCTTTGTCCAGTAGTAATAACATCTAAGTTTTTCTTGCTTCATTCTGGTAAGTCTTGCTCTGAAAAGCTAGTAAGTAAAAATTCTAGCCCACATTCCTTGAGATCATAATTCGTTGTATCTAAGTGCTTAATTAAAAAAAAGTCTCTGCCATGGAGTTGATGCCGACTCATATTGAACCCCATGGGGCAGGGTAGAGCTGATGCTGTGAGTTTAAGAGACTGTCAGTCTGTGGGAGGAGAAAGCCCCGTCTTTCTCCCAAGGAGTGGCTGGTGTTTTTGAACTGCTGACCTTATAGCTAGTCGCCCAGAGTGTAACGGTATATGCCACTAGAGCTCCTGTGACATGTTGAGATAAGGGATAGTCCCCAGAGAAGCACCATTTTTTCATGTAACAATGTTGGGCTTTGCCATCTGGCCACTCTACTACCACATGGGCCTTTTCCGCTGGAGGGGAAGGGGATGTGCGTGAAAGCACCACAGCCCGAGCCAGGCAATGCGCTGAGATCTGAAGGGAGTTCTCCAGGTAATATTCAGAACCCTGGTGGTACACATAGGTCAGCGTTCAAGTGCCAGTGGGAAGGCTGTCTGTTTGAACCCGCCCAGCAGCTGTAAAGCAGCCTAAGACTTGTGGATCTGCTTCCATAAAGATTACAGTCACCAGACCCCACCGCTCTGTCCCATGGGGACACCACAAGTCAGAATCCACTGGCCGGCTCCGAACAACAACAGTAAAGCCATACTTTTACGAGGGGCTTGAAAGCATTTGTGGAAGAATGGAATTGAACCTTAAGGGGATGTTTCCCCACAGTTTTTGAGGCCCCCGTGGAGGATCTGCATCTTCAAACGAGGAGGCCGAGGTTCACAAAGGTTGGCTGTTCAGCTGTGAAGGGATCAACTCCACCAGACAGCATCGGTACATTTTATAAACATGTTTGTGCCAAAGTGTTGGTGTAAGGATTATTATAAAGGGGCTTATATTTTGGACTGGGAATTCAGTCTTCTTCCAAATGACTACTGACACTTTTAAACCAGGAGTCTGAAAAGAAACAGTGCTTTAGCATGAGCCCCCGGCAGAAGTAAGACTGCCATGCGTAAGAGCATTTGTGCTGTGGGGTCAAGCCACCTCCTGTGCGGCTCCCCCCACACTCAGGGTCTGCGCCTGGGCGAGCTCCTCACTCTCCCGGCTGCAGCGTGCTCCTCTCTAGGACGCAGAGACTTTTGTCAATCAGCCGAATGCTGGACCCTGTGTGAGCATTACTTGGTGTCCAAGTGAGGGGCCATGGGGGGAAGAACCATCAAGACACTTGTCCAGACCTGCTTCTTTACCAAGAAGCCATTGTTAGAAGAGGCAAATGCTTCCCACCAGAAGGACAGGGGCCTGGAGTCGATTTGTCATTTCTGAAATGTCTACAGTCGAAAGAGTTCCTTAGCACCGTCAGTACTCTAATGTAGTCTTATGTCATTTTAGGCCCTCAACTTTGTGGAACATTCCATTAGCTGCAAGGAAAAATTGAGTAAAAAGAACAAAGCTGGAGCTGCTTTTACCGATGACGGCTTTGCCATGGGTACGTGTGCTGGAGTTGCTTTCCCACGTACTAGATGCTCTCTGCGTAACGGACTCTGAGACGCTTGCCTTGGCTTAGGTCAGCCTGTTCTCCACAGCACTGTTACTGCTGCTTGTCGTCAGCCGTCTGACTGACTTTCTGACTGACGGCCATCCGCAGTGCGCCCTGGTTGTCGCTGGCGACCTCATCTAGTTAGTCATGGGTGCAGTTTTGAGAACCCTACTGCTTCTCAGTCGCTGTCTTCTCCCTCACCCTTCCAGTCACATACTGAGAGGAAGTTCATGGCCCATTTCCCCCCTTGGAGGCCAGGCTTTTCTGTAATTCTAGCGTGTGCTCTTCAATGCTCTATGTTTTTGCATCTGCGTTTGTCTTTTTTAAAGAATTAAATCAAGTTGCTTGTGCTTTGAGATGTCATTTCCGTGTGTTGTGAGGGATGCAGCGTCCACACGCATGGTTACGCCATCGTGGTTTTGTTTGTGTCCACAGGTGTGGCCTACATTCTGAAGCTGTTGGATCAGTACCAGGAGTTTGACTCACTTCACTGGTTCCAGTCAGTCAGGGAGAAGTACCTGAAGGAGATCAGAGCGGTTGCTAAGCAACAGAGCGTGCAGTCGGTGGGTCAGGATGAAAAGCTGCTGCAAACCATGAATCTCACTCAGAAGCGACTGGATGTCTACCTGCAGGTAGGCCTGAGAAACATAAAGAGAAGCAAAAATCACAGCCCAAACTCACTGTCACTGAGTCAGTTCTGCTCTTATCCACCCTATAGGGCAGAGTAGAACTGCCGGACTGTAATTCTTTAAGGGAGTAGACGTCTCCCCTTTTTCCCACGGCGTGGCTGGTGGGTTCCAGCTGCTGGTCTTGTGGGCTGCAGTCCGTGCATACCCACTAGCCCACCAAGTCAGGCAGAAAGCCGATTTTACTCAGTGCGGTGAGTAACGGTAGAAGGAATTCCCTTTTTAGAGTGCATGGCATTTAGACTCCAAACTGAAAAGCAGATGAGTTACGTAGGGCAGTTTCCATATTTGTGATTTCCGCTAAGTTAAAAAGGTAATACTGTTTAGAAGTTGCTGTGGCAATTATTTTCAGCTTTATTTACTTTTGTGTTTACTTAGGAATTTGAACTGCTCTATTTCTCACTGAGCAGTGCAAGGATCTTCTTCCGAGCAGACAAAACGGCAGCTGAGGAGAGCCAGGAGAAGAAAGAGAAGGAAGGTCAGTAAGAAGGAAACCTTTCTGTAACAGACGCAGGTGTGGGGCCCCCTTTGGACCTCTGCAGACTCCTGGCTTCCTCGGCCTTTTGGCAGGTGGAGCCAGCTAGAAATAGGCCTTCCTTCACCAAGGAAAAGCCTCTGTGCATTTCACCCTGCAGTAACCCTCCAGGCCCCACCTCCGTTTCATCTGTTCTTAAGTCAAATGGAGCAAACTTAGGGTTTCACTTAGTGTTTCAGCCTGGGTCAGAGTAACCGGGGCGGGAACCTTTCTGCTGTCCAGAGCCATTTGGGTATTTTCACCATCCTTCACGAGCCACCCTGGTCAGCGTGTAACCTGCTCACTGACTGTTGGCTGGAACTGCTGCTCTTTGGTGAGGCTTGCGATGTTAGCTGGCATTGAGGATTTCGTGGGCCCCTCGCCACACCGGGAGCAGAAGGAAGCCATTGGGGAGGACCCCTGCATGTTGCTGAAGGCAGAGCTTCTGCCGACTGGATGTTGCTGGCCTGTGATCAGGTGCTCCTTAGCGTTGGAGTGAAGTCTCTTGCTCTCCCCGGGCTCTGGAGGATCAAGGTGTGTTGTAGCCATCACAACTGGTTCTCATCAGCAAACTGGAGTCATTAAGGAACTGAATTCTCTCCCCTGTAGTCTAGGCAGGATGGCAGGAAGATGTAAACACCTCCCTCTCAAATTTTCAGTGGACTTGCTTTGCGAGCCACTTTAGGTTTGCAGAAGAACTTATGCAGAAAGCAGAGGGTCCCATCAGCCCTCTTGACTCACTGCGTGCTGTTTCCTCCTTCCCATCTTGAGTTGTGTGGCTCATGTACTATAGCTGATGAAACAATACTGTTAAATTTTGATCAACTGAAGCCCATTAAGATGGACAGTCTTGGAAACCCACAGGGGTGGTTTCTGTAGGCTCCTATACGGTCACTGTGAATTGGAATCGCTGTGATGGCAGCAAGGATTCTCTTTGGCTAAAGCCTAGTGTGCATTTGTGTTGTATAGCCCTGTGGTTTTGGAGCAGTTTGAACGGCATGTGCCACCATGATGGTGTCCCACAGTGTAGCGTCACTGCCCTAACCCCCCTGTTCATTCCTCCTCCCTCACCTAGAGCTTCAATTTCATGCTCAGTGGTTCGTCTTTAACGTTTTCCATGATACGTTCTCCCAGATCTAAGACGGAGGAGGGCACTGTGCCCTCTGAAATGCCCCTTGGAGACAGTTTTAATCTCTCCCAGTTCCACGTTTGCCTCAACAAGTAATAGTAACACACATTTGCAATAGCTGTCCTCACCTACCAACTCACTGCCATGAAGTTGATGCCAACTCTTCGTCACCCTATAAGTCAGGGAAGAAATGCCCCTTTGGATCTTCCGAGACGGTACTCTTTACAGGAGTAGAAAGCCCTGTCTGTCTTGTGCAGAGAAACTGGTGGTTTTGAACTACTGACCTTGCAGACTGCAGCCCAAGATGTAACCGCTACTCCACCAGGGCTCCTGTATCTATCTGCCCTAGGTTTCTAAAGATTGATGGTGAAGAAACTCGGTGTAATCCATGATAACATACATATAATCCATGGGAGATACATTTTCGTACTTGGAAATTTAGCAACATATATGATTTCTTCTCAAATTTTAATCTCTGTCCTCTAATTCCCTTTTTCAAATGTGCCATCCGACCTCCAGAAGAAACGAAAACAAGCAACGGCGACCTATCGGACAGCACCGCGTCTGCTGAGCCCGTGGTGAAATGACCCGAGAGCGTCTGCCCACTGGTGCAGTCACATGGGTGTTCATAAGCTCCCGCGATTTGTTTCCTGGGTCAGCTCCTGGGACGTATTTCAGTGCTGCGCTTTTTAAGTGGCATTCTGAAGTGAAGTCCATTCTCCTTCCAAATGCTCTACTCTGCAGTGGTTGAGAATGAGATTTAAAATGGACTTTTAGTGCCTAGGAAGCCGTTTGGGAAGAGAAGTTCTTAAAGGGCCAATCCCAGATCCAAAACCGCCACCTCAGACCCTTACAGTTGACATGACTGTTTCTGATTTGTACTCACCAAGGTTCCTGATGGCACGGTGCCTTCAGGCTTTGGGAATTCATTGCATATGCCATGTACAGCCAGTAAACACATACCTTTCAAAAAGGAATTGAGCCTGAAATTCATGGTAGATGTATCCTCCTCCTGAAAGGCATGTGTGAGGATGATGTGGGCACAGGAGGAGAGGCAGGTCGGGGGTGTGGGCACCCTTCTGTTGACTACCAACAGATGATGATCCCTTCGTTGTTAACGTCGTGTTACTCCCAAGAGACATTCTCTACTAGTTTACATCGCCTGGGGAACATTTAACCTCCAACAACTGCTTTAAATTTAAGAATTATGTCAGACTGGAGATGAGTAGAAATCCCGATAAGCCATATAGTCCTGCTTGAAGCTTCACTTCCGTTTGAAGGTTGAACCGTTTCAGAGAATACAGAACCAATTCTTATTTTTACATCCAAACTCAGGTTTCTTCTCCATTAAGCTTCAGTTGAAATCCTATCGATGGTTTGGACAGACTTTTCCTTTAAACCAAGTATGATCTCATTGCCCTGTGCAGGCTTTAAAAAACAAAACAACACTGTGAGAATAAAATTCGGATCTAGTCATTCATTGGTTTAAAAAGTACAGAAAGGTTTGGAGTAAATTCAGTTTCTGGTGAGTTGCTTCCTTTCTTTTGTAAAGAGTGTGCAGGCTGGAGGTTAATCACGGCCTGTAATCTTTTAAGACAATAAAATGATCCCTCTAAATATACTACAGACATCATTTTGGGAAATGCTTGATTTTTACCATTGCATTTGCCTGCTACGCATTGATTGGAATCGTTCCTGCAAGCAATGCTAACATAGTTCTTTGAGTTCCAGAGCTTTTAGGATGGGTGTACAATGCCCCATCTGTAGTCATTGGTTCAATAGGCAGGATAGCTTTCCCACCCCAAGATAAATGAGTTCATTGTTGAAAGCCAGAAGAAACAGAATATGTAGGGAATTTTTATTAAGTAAACACGATTTACAGAATTATGATCTAAGAATGAATTGAAGGCATTTAATTTTTATAATTTACACTAACTATAGAAATGGCCCTAAAGCATGCTGCATAATAAATAACTTAATTTTCACTGTTGTAATGTTTTTTATTAATCTTGTATTTGATTGTATCTTTCAGTCACCATTTCATAGCAAGAGTATCACTTTTTGTTGGTTGGTATTTTTTCTCCCCACAAACTTCCTTAAGCCATTCCCTTGAACAGGGACAGAAAGGCGATTAGATGAGCACCGGCGTCTGCATGTGCTGCCACTGCACATCTGATCGATTGCTTATCTACTAGAGAAGGTTCCAGCTGACTTCCTGGTAGTACAATTGAGAAGGAAGTGACAGGGGAGTATTTTTTCTTTAGTTCAAAGTAATGTGACAGCAACCTGGACAAGCGATAAAACCAACAAACAAACAAGGTCACAGCAGCCTGGACAAGTGAAGTAGGATCTCTGAAAAGGCTAAACATGTTTATGGTCTGAAGTTACAGAGCTCGAGTACATTCACACCCAACTTACGGTACACCTTTGGATGGTGGCGTTTCTCAATAAAATAGTAATATTTTCAATTGTCCAGCACTGTAATTTGAGAATATGAGTTCACAGAAAACTTTGATACTGAGATCCTCGGCCTCAAGGATAACCAACCGCACACATTGCCAGTTCGGATTGACTTTTGTGCCTAATAGCAAATTTGCCAGCTCCCTGGTGTGGGGCTCCTGCTTGCCCCCATTCAAAGAGTACAGTATACTACGTGTACCCAAACACCAATAAATAGAATTTAAAAACTTCCTTTCCCTGGATCTTTATGTTCAACATCGAATGTCGAATGTCTTGGGGGCATCTTATAGGTTAATAAAGTACCGTATATACTCGTGTATAAACTGAGTTTTTCAGCACATTTTTCATGCAGTTTTTGTGGTAAAATCAGGTGGCTCGGCTGATATTCGGATCAGCTTATACTCGAGTATATGTGGTACCTGGAATTTCTCTAAAACAAACATTCCTGCACTTCAAGCCTGGAAGTGGGAAGAGGGACTCCACCACAACCACAGACAAACTGGGCTTTGCTTTATAAATTCTCACTGTCTGTGAAGGCTCCAATAAGGGCCTGCATGCACTTATAACTGACTCCTCATCCAGAGAAGGAGTTGCTATGTACAGTGTGTAGTGCGTTGCATATCACTGTACTGCTCTTTGCAAATATGAAATGAAACTGACAGCCTTTTAAACACTACGCTTGAGACACTGTTCTTGGTTAAAACGCGTAAGTCTGGCCGACGTACCGTCTTCTGAGGTGTGCTGCACTGGTACGACTGGGAACGAGGAGACACCACCACCACATGCATCAGTATCATGCCACTCTATGCCGATTGGCTAAATGAAAAGGTAGCAATTCTAGTAATTTTGGCCTGATTCTGTACCAGCTGCATACTGCAGACACGTTCGAGACTAATGCTCCCCTTTCTCAGGGTAGGTTTAATGCTGCCGCTCTTGAACAGATTTTTTATTTTTTATTTTAGGAACACGTTAATAGGTTGCTAAAGGTTCCAAAGAAGTGGGAATGAGTGGAATTTCACACAGAGGGCAGTGAACTCCTATTAAGATGGAAATTTAGAATTGGATTGACTTGAAGTTTTACATTTTTAAAATTTTATTGATGTAAAATTCACATACCGTACAATTTAATTATTCAATCCTATTAAGCACTGTGTAATCATCACCGCAATAAATTTTAGAACATTTTCTTCTTGTACCCATTACTATTAACTGCCCATCTCCCCTCCCCTGCCATAACCCTAAGAAACTATTAAACCAGGTATAGATTTACCTATCCTGGATTTCATATAAAGAAAAGTCTACAAAAACAACAAACAGAAGAACCTCAATAGAAAATAAAATAATAAAATCTAGAACATTTAAAATGGGTCAAAAGGAAGAACACATGATAAGGTGTTATATTTTAACCTTACTACATCTGCGTTAGTCCACTTTCCAATGTGCTTTGACAGTAAGACGATACACATCCCTCATCAATGTTCAGGGGGGATTTACTGGAGGCTTAGTCTTCGTGAGGACCCTGCAAACAGATTTGGGGTGTTCACTGTCACCCATAGTCTATTGCAAACTGGGTACTGAGAATTTAAGTTCTAATACTGTTCCCTCCTCCCATGTTGGATTTTGTTGTTTACAATCCTTGGATCACACAGGCTGGTGTGCTTTTATGTGGACTTAACTGTCATCTCACTTAGATGGTTGCTTAAAACAAGCCTTAAACATTGGGCCTCAACTACTCCCTCAATGCAAGAACTTTGTTCTGTTAAACTGGTATTTCATGATGTTCACCTTCCAGACACAATTGCTGAAGACAGAGTGGGTGCATAAGCAAATGTGAAGAAAGCTGATGGTGCCCGCTATCAAAAGATATAGCATTGGGGTTTTAAAGGCTTGAAGGTAAACAAGCAGCCATCTAGCTGAGAAGCAACAAAGCCCACATGGAAGAAGCACACCAGCTGCTTTGATCACAAGGTGTCAATGGTATCAGGTATCAGAAAACAAATACCATTGTGAATGAGGGAGAGTGCAGAGAGGAAACCCAAAGCCTATCTGTAGACAACTGGGCATCCCCTTACAGAAGAGCTGCAGGGAGACTAGCCAGTTGGTGCAGTATAGTACCGATGAAACACAACTTTTACTCTAGTTCTTTAATGCTTCCCACAGACACACTATCATGACCCCAACTCTACCTTACAAATCCGGCTAGATTAGAGGATGTACACCGGTACAGATAAGAGCTGGAAACACAAGGAATCCAGGACAGATAAACCCCTCAGAACCAATAATGAGAGTAGTGATACCAGGAGGGGAAGGGGAAGGTGGGAAGGCAGGGGGAACTGATCACAATGATCTACATATAACCCCTCCCTGGGGAACGGACAACAGAAAACAGGTAAAGGGAGACATCGGACAGTGTAAGACATGAAAAAATAATTTATAAATTATCAAGGGTTCGGGAGGGAGGGGGTGGAAATGAGCTGATACCAAGGACTCAAGTAGAAAGAAAACGTTTTGAGGATGGTGACAACAAATGTGCTTAACACGATGGATGTATGGATTGTGATAAGAGTTGTATGACCCCAATTAAATGATTTATAAAAAAGACAAGCTTTAAAAGGTTTATATAAAAAGCTGAACGATGGATATACCTCAGAATTTTGGCTCTCCTTTACCACCTACTTCAACTGGTACCTCCAGTTCTCCTGGGTGACCAGTTACTGTCAAGCTGACTCCAACTCATGCACAACAGCTGAAAGGTTACCAGGTGCTGCTCAGTCTTCATGATCGTGGTTTGAGGCTACTGTTGCCATGGTGCCAACCAATTGAGTTCCTCGATCTCCCTGGCCTTCTGCTTTTTCAAACAGATGGCCTTTCCTCATGACACTCAGCGCTCTTGTTAGCTACAGCCTAGTGTGACGGATAGGGTTTTCGTTGCCTTATCTTAAGAAGTAGCTCTCCAGACCGTCCTTCTAACCTGCTGTAGTCTGCAAACTCCATGGAAACGCCCACCGTGGGTGAACGTGCTGACAGTGGCATCGTCCCCAATCCTCAGAGCAGCACGCAAGCCACCACAGTACGACAGACTTGCAGTTCTCATAAGGCGATATACTCAGAAGCACACCTGTCTACCTCGCATAAATAGTAAATTAGTTAATATCTCCCTAAGGTGCTCAGAAAGTCACAAAGTTAAAAGATGCGCTTTAAGTTGATTTAATTATTCCAAGGAAGCAAACGGTGCCAACAAGTCAATTCCGGCTCACCGCAGCAAGGAGCCCTGGTGGTGGTGGTGTGTGTGTGTG